TAATTTCTATACAATAATCATTTTGTTGAATTTTTTTTAACAATTATTACCTTCTTAGACTACGCTTGTATCATATTTTTTATTATTTTCACTAATAAGAAAAAGAAAGGTAAACAAATGAAATGTTTTTCAAAATTTAAAAATAGCCTTATTTACCTTTTTTACAAAAAATGTTAATGGGTCCATAACAATTTTAGGATATTTACTTATTAAGTTACAAGGATTTTAATAAATAAATGTTCAGTTTTACATCCTTCTATTTCCCAAACTTAACATACTACAAAGGATGGTAGCTCTCTTACATATTAGGGAGTTAATGATGGTTCTTGGCTTGGTCAATTTTGGACAGTACAAATATTATGCGGATTGCGCTAGTGATCAGACACCAATAACGAAAAAATAACAAGAAAAATCTAGTTAGAATCGTGGGAATCGAACCCGGGACTTCGTGCGCCGAAACATACATTTCTACCCACTAGGCCCGGCCGACCCCTCAATATTTTTTTAAAAAAAATTTCAATAAAATGATAATTGTATCATTTAAAATTATAAACATTGACAGGTTGATCTAAGTCACTCTGTATAAAGAAAAAAATTTTTTTTTCAACAGATTTTTANCCTCAATATTTTTTTAAAAAAAATTTCAATAAAATGATAATTGTATCATTTAAAATTATAAACATTGACAGGTTGATCTAAGGCACTCTGTATAAAGAAAAAAAAATTTTTTTTCAACAGATTTTTAANACTCTGTATAAAGAAAAAAATTTTTTTTTCAACAGATTTTTAAATGGTATACAAGCTTTGAAGTGATATTTAATTACATAGTTATATATTATACGTAGATAAATAACACATTATTTATGTTATATTATAATACATCTATATAATAGCTATTTATTATGCAAATCGCATACTTATTCATCTACTCCATATTTGTTGGCGGTGTTTGAGAGCCTTCTGTATATGAGCTGCCAATATAAATAACTAGAACATTTTAACTATATAACTGATTTACGTTATCGATAAGCATACATTTAACCCTTCTAGTTCCAAAATTTTTATTTTTTATTTGGCATAATTATAAATACCTATTATAATATGTGCTTCAAAAAAATTATTTTAAATATAATAACATTTATAACTGTGACGTTAACATATTAAATTATCGANTAATATGTGCTTCAAAAAAATTATTTTAAATATAATAACATTTATAACTGTGACTGTAACATATTAAATTATCAATATAATAGTATTTTTTATACACCCAAATTATCAATCAGGATAAATAATAAGTAAACAAATATGAGGCCCCCTCGTAAAATCATGTCCGGGGACCTCAAGAAATGTAGTTGCACCGCTGTATGATACGTTATACCATGGGAATAAGTTAGTTTTTTATTGCTCTCAATTAAATTTATAACACACTTGTTCAGTATTCAGTTTTATCTGATCCACGTGAATTGAATTATTTCAATTAATTCAAGTCATTTTACAGGATAAAACATAAAGATATCGTGATATTTAAATAATTTTGTTTGTTTGGTGTAGAGAAAGGTGTCATTGTTTATTATTCCGTTTTCGAGTCAAAATTTAGGATAAGAACTACCGATCTAAATAAAAACTATCTTACAAAGCAATTGTTTTATTTATTTGTATGTATGTATGTATCAAATTTCAATGAATTAAAAATGAGAGTTGGGTGATAAACGAAGGACCGTTGGCGAACACATACTCGAGGTCGAGTTTTGCCGACAATGTAAATACAGAGGAAATTCGCAGTTGTTCTGGTTTCACAAAAACGATCTATTCATCAGTTCGTGACACTTAAATTAGCTTTAACAGCGACGTGCTTCCACACGCATTAGGCGGCATGAGACAAAGAGATCGGCTCTTGATCCGCAGCTCGTACAAACATTTATGATAACAATCACCGCCCTTTTTCTTCTACTTTATAGTTACAAATAATACCCAAGAGACTTTCACCAATGTCACCTGTTATAACAATGTTTTAATTTTTCTGTTCAATGCAAAAATTAATTTCAAAATGATGCAATATACTAGTAATAACCATAATTTATTACCTAATTTCATTATTGGTTACTATCATACTTGTTTGTCAAAATTAATATCCTGTAAAAATAATAGATTTATAAGGAATGTACAGTTTACTAGAATTATATCATTTATCCATTTGTAAACCACTTATTTTAATTTCCATTCAATATATAATGTGAACCAAGTAACAATATCTAAAACATAAAATTAAACATGTTTTTAATAGCAATATTTGATTATACATTTCGCGTACTTGCTCCGTTTAGAGTTTGTGTGCCTACTCATTTTCATTTAGGTACTTTATTATCATAACTATTACAATACCATTATGATTGTAAAACGACTGCTACGTCTATCATTCACATAATGATAACATAATACAGTTTATGGGAGAAGAGCAAAACCAGTGTCCCCCGCGTGCGTATCACTGGAAGCCGACCGACGCAATACCCACAGGCCTTAACGAGTGTCACGTACCATCTGATGCTCGTCAAGTTCCTTTCATATAAACCGCTGCCGCCACCGCACAGTATTTCGGTACACTTTAAACGACTTTGCTGATTATTTTATACGGAAATGCACGACCCGACGGCTCTGCACATAAAGTAATGTATGTATGTAGATGTACAGTAACACAAAAGGGCGAGCATATACCTGCGACAAACGAATTGCCATCGTGCCTCTCCTACTTATTCTATTCTTCATTTCACTCGTACCTATCTCTTCGCGTCTTAGACACATGCCGACCATTCCGTGATTTTGCAAAAATGAACTCAGACGCTCAAATGAATAGCATACATTTCGGCTGGTTTTTCATTTTTAATTGGATAAATGTTATTTACCAAATACCAATGATTAATATATAAGTTCAATTGAATTTGTGAAGCAATAATTGTAATTATAGGTATATTGTGTGATAATAATGTATTTATTTAATTTGAATTCTCATTAGCCAAAATAATTTTAAAAAAGTTAAAAGAGCAACTAAAATAAAATAAAATAAATTCTTTTTTATATTTTTAACTTTATAATGCTATTAACTTTTTGAAAAATGAATGGATCAATATAATTTTTTTTTATAGATGCATGATGGTTTTACCTATCATTTGGTACATTTTTTTTATAAATCTGACCCTTTACCTGTCCACAGGGGGGGATTCAAAATGACAACTTTTTCACAAAAAATTAACTTTTTCCACTTAACTTTTGAAAGTGTTCCGTAAAGTCTGATACTTTTATATATATCTTAAATTAAAGCTAATGTAATGTACTTTATTATGGCTAAAAAAAATTTCGGACATTATTTTGTCTTCATGGCAAAAATAGACAAAGTTAATAAGAAAAATATGATTTTTGTAAAAATATTCTTTTATATATTTTTAACTTTGTAATGCTATAACTTTTTGAAAAATGTATGGATCAATATAATTTTTTTTAATAGACGTATGACGTATGACATATGACATATCATTTGGTATATTGAATTAAGTGCAATGAACCAGACTTGAGACTAGAATTTAATAATGGAATAACAGATTCTTTTTAGAGCCATTTCTTCATTAGAGACAATTTAAACTGTCTTTTAAATAGTAACATTTTTAATGAATAAATACCTTTTTTTATCCAATGTGTTAAGTGATGTTTTCCAAGCTAATAAAATGTTATAGTCTTGCTTAAATTTTCTCCGAGAAAAATTATTATAAGCTCCAGAAATTCTTTATAGTCATAGAGAAAATCGTTTTGTAATTTTTTTTAAGAGAATTGTAGTATTTTTCTCTATCATTTTTAATATATTTAAATTTATGTCAATAGACTAAAAAGAAAATGCAGTTTTATTTATTTTTCCCCAATCATTAACAAATCTCTTAAAAAGTGGAATATCTGAACCAAACGACGGAATAAATTTTGTTTCAACAAAAACGGCATGATGTATTATTTCAAAAATATGATGCCCGCATGTGTACTTCTTATACTTATAATAGTATACTTCTTTCTAATTTTTGCTTTAATAATACACAAGCGCCATTTAATCGACCGTAGTTAAACGCTTTTTTGACAAATACAAAGTCTTGAACTTTAATAATGCCCACTTTTCTAATTCGCAATTTGGTTTGGCAACTATTATTGTAACATTTTAGAATCCCAGTGCACTTTATTACACTGCACTTATCGTATCAAGCATAAATAGTTTACGATTAGAGACAAAAGTTAAAAGTCACCGAATATAAACCGTTTGTTGCATTTGAGTATTGCAATTTTGTAGTAAGAGTAATTTGCTCAATCAGCTGATACTAATGACATTTTGACAAACTATAAACTCAAGCAAAATGTAGTAAAATACGTAAAAATATTTATATCAATATAACATTTAAATGATTTCATAGGATTAACATGCGAGACTAAATGTAAATGTATATATAAATTTCGGAATAACAGCAAATCTATAAAACTGACTATAAATTTACAAAAAACTAATATTACAATAAAATAAAAATTTAATTTTGCTGTTGAGCGAATTTTCAACTTCGACTCAGCACCTGAAGGGGTTCAGTTATTAAAAACAAATTTTACCGAAAAGACTTTCATATAATAACTAAAAGAAATTGGCAGGTACGGAGATCGATCAATGAAAGTTTATAAAATAACAGCCACCCTAATATATATTAATATACTATATGCTATTATATATTTAAAAAGATGTGTTAAATAAATAGTTCTAATATTAATCCAATTTTATACCAAAAAAATCAATTTTTCAATTTTATTGTTCTAATGGAACTATGAATTGTAAATAATAATACAGGAGTTACATATAATTTCAGTAATTTATCCATTAATGTAATAATAACGTACAAAAACAATACATAGTTATATCACTGTCATCAAAAAATGGTGTATCATGCATTAGTAGTAGGCTTCGTGACAACGGTTATGTGGGAAAAAAAAGAATTTCCTCATTATAAGTAATATTTTTTGGTCGGAATACCTTTTTATTGCAAACATGCAAACCATACAAAGAAAACGTATAAACAACAATTCTAACGAAAAAAAATTATGGAATCCTTTAAAAAAATCATTATTATATTTAAAAGAATTTTCAGAAATAACTTCATTACATGGAATAAGACACATAGGACTTTCCAATAGACATGTCTTAGAAGTGTAAGTATAAATTTTATTAAGAGATAATTTATACATTAATATTAATAATAATAATATTATTATCTATAACAAATTTTTCTGGCTACCATAGAATAATTTTTCTACATTAAATAAAAATTTAGATTTAACCGATATTATCGGTGTATATTAATTAACAACGGTTTTATGTTAATTGTTGTAGATAATTAAATTAACATTGTTAAGTAATTTATATAAATTAATTATGTGAAAATTTTCTAAAAACGATATATATGTCAATTTTAGAGGTTTTTCAGGCGAACAAATATGGTTTTTAAATTTTAATGCTGATTAATACTAAAAAACCATTTTTAAAATACAAAAATTTACCATCTCTTATTTTTTTAAAGATATACTTAAAAATAAAACACCCTTTTTTGTAATTAATCATTTTTTAATAAAAAGAGGACTCGTTCTTTAATATCATTTTATATAAAAATTTTGATACAAAAATGATAAAATAGTTAATTAATAGGGCACTGTGGCTATTATGTGTAATAATGTCAGTTTATGGATCAATTGCTTTAATGATAAACAGCTATGAAAGGTATAACACGAATCCAACAGTAATTACAGTAGAAAAAAACTATCGATACTGGTATATTCAGTTTCCAAGCGCCACCTTTTGTTATGCAGACCCTATTAACAAGGATTTAGCCAAAGAGTACATCAAAGAGTCAGTAAAGTTAAATTGATATACTAATGTATTAAATGTTGTATTTATTAAATTTAAGTTTTTAGTATGCATAATATGCATATAATTTTTTTTTTTGTCAGGAAATGGAACGTTAGCTCTGGAGAAGAATTTGACTACTACATGAAATTTATTACAGAAGCAGTTAATGTAACATATGAAAGCCTTAATTTGATGATACCATATTCAAAAAATCCCAAGCTTAATAAAATTAATTTAAAAGAATTATCTGATAGGGTAAATATTAAGGATCTATATTTAATACAACATGCATATCTTTTTTAATAACTTAAATAAAATAAATATAAACAACTTTATTTATATTCTGTAAAAAATGATTATAACAATTTCAAAATAAAAACAGAATTTACAAATGTCGAAATTAAGCGATTTTAAAAATTACTCGGGGAATTTTACACATTTACGGGGAACAAGAGAAATTTCTTTAACTGTTATGGGTAATGTCTTCAACTAGATACAAGTTAAGATTTTTTGATGTATCGTTCAGTAATACGGTTCAATAAATCTGAGAAAAAGTAGTGACAGTCAAAAAAATGTAATTGTAAACAAATTTTACTATTATTATCTTCTCAGTTTCGCATCAAAGCTAAAAAATATCGTATCATTGCTTTTAATAAAATAATTTTGATAAAATTACTTCTCCTAAAAAATGTTAAAAAATTAACTTATCTGTATATTGCACCAAGTCTATCATATATTTTATGCAACTTAGGTTTATACTAAGATTACCAATTCTCGAGCACTATGAATATTGAATATAGTACATCTTCAATTAAATTCATAAAAAAAATTTTTGCGTAAAACAGGTTCACGTGGAGTTGCGATTTAAATCATCTATATTTAATACTGAATATCAAAATATATCTTTTGAACCAGTTCTCACTGAAATGGGTACTTGCTATACTTTTAGTGGTACAATAACCGAATACTTCCGACCAAAGTAAGACAAAATTTAACTTGTCATAAAATAATTTTTTTAAAAGATTTTTGTATAAGAAAAAATATACTATAATGTTGTAATTATATATAATTTAAAATATTATATTAAAATGTTATGTCTTTTAGAATAGGAAAATGAAATTGTACAGTTATATTTGTTTTATATTTAACATACATAAGATGTTCATGTAATAATTTCCTTACTTTTTGAACACTCTATATATTAGTGCTAAGGACAAACGCAATGCATCAGTACTAGAATAAAATGTGTGTGTACCTAAATTTAATTTTCTTCCAAGAAAGTGAACATAAAATATTTTAATGGAAAATTAACAATTGCGTTAAAGATTATTAATTGTCTTATTTAAAAAAAAATTACATAAGGAAATTTTTTGGCACAGACATAGGCTTGTAAAATAACAGATTATGAGTGTTAAATATTTCATAGCATTTCAAATTACATGGAGAAAATACACCTATATTTTATTCAAAAATTATAAGAAAAAAAAATCTATATTTATTCCTCTTCCTAAAATAAAATTTATAGAGCGCCCATATAATGTAGTCCTTTTTAGTTGAATTAAATATTTGTTACAAGATTAATTTAACATATTTGATTCTATATAGGTATTCAAATATTTTTTATTAAAACTGTGATGGATTAAAAATTTGTTTTAGCGGCAAAATACAAATAAAGCGAAACTACTCTCCACCATCATGTAATTTTTTCAATTCATTGTGCTATGCTAGAGCTGAAAGTTTATCTCGGATTGTTGCGGTAGGAACATTTTATTAATTAAAAATAACTAATCGTAAGATTATAATTATGTATGAATCTAAATTTTATATGCGGATGTCTCAGACTTAACTGACAGCACTTATAATTATTGAAACAATTATCATTTTCTTGATATAATTTTCTTAATAATAATTACCGTCATATATTACATTTAAAGCATGTTTTTTATCGTTTATCTATTATAAAAAAAAAACAAAATAGTAATTTTTTATTACTTGATTAATGTACATATATATATATATATATACAGGGTGGCCCACCACTCACTGACAACTTAAATAACTTTTGATCCAGTTAATATTTTTAGTTGATTTTTTTTTTTAAATAATAGTTAGACGTTAGGTCTATAGCTATATCTCAATAATTAATTTTTTTACATTTTATTAAAAATATTAATTATTTTAAAATTTTAAATAAAAAGTAAAAAAAAAATCTAAGATAGCTATTTTGTAGAGTAGAATTTAAGAAAAATTTTAGTAAAAAAATATCTTATTAATATTCAGTAGTAAATATTCTGTAGCGTTTTGAAGTTTGTAAAATTTTGAATTTTCATGTACTATTTTACGGTTATAAACATTGAAATACGTATTGAGAAAAGGACAGAAGAAAACGCTATCTTTTCATGATTACTGTGTATACATATGATGATAATGTGTATACATTACAAACTTGGCATAAATACCATGATAAGAAATTAGATAAGGCAATTATTACTTATCACTCTCATTCAAAAGTATATTGAAAAGATAGCGTTTTCTTCTGTCCTTTTCTCAATACGTATTTCAATGTTTAATACCGTAAAATAGTACATGAAAATTCAAATTTTCACAAACTTCAAAACGCTACAGAATATTTACTACTGAATATTAATAAGATATTTTTTTACTAAAATTTTTCTTAAATTCTACTCTACAAAATAGCTATCTTAGATTTTTTTTTTACATTTTATTTAAAATTTAAAAATAATTAATATTTTTAATAAAATGTAAAAAAATTAATTATTGAGATATAGCTATAGACCTAACGTATAACTATTATTTTAAAAAAAAATCAACTAAAAATATTAACTGGATCAAAAGTTATTTAAGTTGTCAGTGAGTGGTGGGCCACCCTGTATATATACTACACCCGCGTTCCAAATACTCACTAAATACATTAAAATATTTGTAACTTATTATTATATTACAACTGATTAAAAAATATAATATTAAATAAGCTATATATTTTAAACATTTTTTTACTATCTATTGGTAATAAATTAAACAGTATAATTTTTAAGAAAAATATTTAATGTTGAAATTTAGCTCATTTGTTGTCTATTGGAAGTCTAACATCTCTATGGATGTTAGAAATTTAAGTATAATTGACATTTATTTGCAAAAAAACTATTTTTATTTATAGAAAAGTATTTAAGTATATTAAAACATTTTAATATATATCAATTAGTATTATGTACACTACGCAAGAGAATTACCAAATATAGTGGATAAGTATTTCTTAGTAGTAGATAATATGGAACGAGACACGACCTTCACATTCTGGGAGATGACATCTGCACAAGAATTAAGAAAATTAAGCCCCGTGCAACGTCAATGCCGTTACATGGACGAGCCAATGGACCGTTCCTTTCCTGTGTACAGTTACAATATATGCCGGATGATTTGCAGACGGAACTTGGCTATAAAATATTGTGGGTGTACACCGCATTTTTATTTGAACCGCGGTAAAGCAAGATCAATAAATCATATAAGATCTTCAGGATAACAAGAAATTATTTTTTACTTTCTTTATAATTTATCTCTAGATAACTCTAAGATTTGTGATCTCGAAGGATTAGCGTGCCTGTCACCATACAACGAAACCCTTATAACTCTGCAAAATACCGATGGATCGCAAATCTGGTGCAACTGTTTGATGCCATGTGAAGATTCTAAGCTTTTTTTAGACAGAGATTCTAAACGCACATGGTACTTACATAAATAATATACAATAACTAATCTAAAACATTTATAGCTATAAATTTATGACGTGTCAACTTAGGTGAATATAACTATAAAAGAAATATTCTCACATATATTTATTCGTATGAGTAAGCTTCACTAATTTAATATCATCAATGTAACTTAAGTCTTAACTTGCTTGTTCAGGTCTTATCCAGTACCGTATGACATTCGTTTCCGTTGGGCTATTGACAAATATAGTAAGACACGGTTACGACGTGACGTCATCTATAGCTTTGAAGATTTACTTGGTTAGTTACACTCTTGATGGTACTATACTAATTTATTGATTATTTTGATTATTATTTGATTTATGCTTTGACAAGAGAACAAAACTATCTTAAGTGTGAGGGGAAACATAATATGTATAATAATAATAACTTATATTATAAGTTGTTGCAAATAATAATGATTTGAGAAAAGTTGAAACAAGGATAAAAATTTTACTATAGAATATTGTTAGACTTAAACAATAGGACAGAACGAAATATTGAAAATATTAATATTTCAATTCTAATAGAAAAAAAATTGCAGTATAGTCTCCTGATTATGAGGGAATTTTTTTTTTTTAATATCTTCAGGTGATTCAAGAGAGTTGAAAAAATGACATTGATGGTAGTTTTATCCATTTTGTCACTTATATTTTATCTATGCTAGTCATAAGAAAAATTATAGAACTAAATGTTTACCATAAAAAATGTTATTAGTATAAAATTCATATCTATAATACTTAGTCATTAAAATTAACAACATACTTTTACCTTAACCGATTAATTCGTTTTATTTGTTATTTTAAATATTGCAGACGAAATATACAACATACAGAAATAATTTTTAATAAAAATTGTTTAGGATTTATTTGTGTTGTTTTAGCTTCGATGCGAAGCTGAGAAGGTATTAATTTACTATGATGTATTTTTTATTTATTTAATGTTTATTTTGTGTCTGTTACCACTTTTTCTCAGCTCTCATAATGTATTTGGTATATTTTTTTTATAAATCTAACCCTTTACCTGCCCACAGAGTGGGATTCAAAATGACAACTTTTTCAACTTAACTTTTAAAAGTGTTACGAAAATACTGAAACTTTTATATATACCTGAAATTAAAGCTAATGTAATATAATTTATTATAAAAATAAAAAATTTCGGATTTTATTTTGTCTTCACGGTGAAAATATGTACCGAATGCTATTTTTGTGTTAAAATTCTCGATTTTATATTTTACATTTTTAACTTTATAATCCTATAATTTCCGAAGAACTTAAATTATTTGTTTTCAAAAAATTAATTATAATGCTTTTAATTTCTTTAAAAATATTTTTTTAAAGTTAATTTAACACCACCAAGCAGATCTGTTTTCTGGTGTAGTATGACCAATGTTTTTCGATCCTGGTTATTGAATAAGTGTTATATATCCTTCAGTGATAATATTTTTACAATACTTAGTTCTCTATTGATTATTTATATCCTTCAATGAGTAATCCTAAAATTTGTTAATTTTTTAGTTCTTATAAATCTAAATTTCTTTTTTGTCTTGCTCTTCAAACTTTCACTCTATATACAACACTGTTTTTATTATCAACTGAAATAATACCAAAATACTAAAGTACTGCACTTGCAATCGTAACAGCCGATCCATCTGAAATTCCAGTTCTATCGCAAACTAAAACTAGAGCTGGTAAGTCTCATCTGTGAGTTTTTAAAATTCTCAATATTGTTTTTATTTTTCGATTAATTAAGAATTTTTTGATAAATGAACCTTCCTATGTATAATAATATGAAAAATATTTAAATAGATTTTATTGATATAAAACGATTCAAGATTATATTTTTTTCATGTTACATGAATGAGTCGATACATTTCCTAAACCTATTAAAGACGACCACTTCATATCGTAAAAAAATGAATTATGTTAATCATCCGATTAATTATGAGACTTTCATATTTATGTTTTTTAGTTAATTTGGCTATACTTAATTTCATGTGGAGAATCAAACATTTACGCTTGTCACAATAGATATTAAACAATTTCAATTTTTAATTTTTTGTGAATTAAAAAACAAATTGGTTAAATCACCAGGTTTTTTTTATAATTAAACTGTCACTGATGTTTCTACAAATATATTATGCTGTATGCAAACTGTCAAGATTTTTACTCGCGTACTAATATAATTACTTATTCATGAAAAATATAATGTATTAATAAAACACAGCTGTCCACAGCTTATAGTTGAATATTAACAGTAATTGTTGACGAAAATTTTTGTAAAGCCAGTTTTAATTCAGTAATAAGTAATTAATTGTTACTTTTACATATCACTATTTACTCAAAATCATGTTTTCATAAAATTTATAATACATAAACATTGTAAAAGAAGTGCAAGAGAGGCATATATCGATATTCAAGACATTGGACGTTTAAATCGTATAAAACAATCAATATAGTTTATTATTCTCTGCCTAAATATGCAAGAAATTCGTATAAAGTTTGGCAGAACTTAACTATTAACGAAATAATATTATTCATTTTAAATAGGTATAAAAAAAAATTTAAAAAACTTATTTAGTCAATAATGATAATGTTCAAAATTTTTAAGCTTTGATGCATAGCTGAGAAGGTATTTATTTTATTATAATGTGTTTTTTTTTTTTTTTGTTAAAGTTTTTGATTTCATATTTTAATTTTCAAATTTAAATTTCTATAACTTTTTGAAAATTGCACAGATAATACAATTTTTTTTATAAATACTTTGTATACACACATTTTCTTTTAGGATCATTTTACTTTATACACGGTAGGGGGTTAAAAACTTTAAAAATTCGAGAAAAAGTAGAACTTTTTCAACTTAATTTTTGAAAATGTTCCGAAAATACTTCGATCTTTAAATATAAGTCAAATTAAAATACTATAAGTTCAAAAACAAATTTATCCCGAATCCTTTTCATCTATCAGAAAATGGCATACAAATTGAACAATAAATGTAATTTTTATGTAAATATCATTATTTAAAGTTTTAATATTTTAATACTTAATCGTGTCATAAATTATTGAAAAACAGACAAATCAAAATAATTTTTTTTATATTTAAACCCTTAGATATTTCCTTTTCATTTTATATAAATTTTTTGAAAATCTAACCATTTATCCGCCCGTAAGGGGAGAATAAAAAAAGCAACTTTTGCACACAAGTTAAAGTTTTTCATCTTCATTTTTGAAAATGTTTCAGAAATATTGACACTTATATATATATTTTAAATTAAAGCTTATATAATATATTTTACTATGAAAAAAAAATTCAAAATAAAGATTTTCTTTTTGGCAAAAATGGCTATAGTATTAAAAAAATGCTATTTTTTTGTTAAAATTTTGGGTTTTGTATTTTATTTTATTTTAAAATACCTTACAATGGGAATACACTGATTTTTAGGAATATTATATAATTTAATTGATATATAATATAAAGTTAAACTTTATTTAAATTTTTTTATTTTTTTTAAGTCGAAAAGTATATTTTACACTCTAATAAAAATTCCTTGCAAACTATTTATTCATAATTAACAACAAATGAAAAGTTTTGTATCAAACTAGTGCCGCGGGAACCCGAAGATGGGGGCCACGAGGGAGGCAGTTGTCCCCTTGGTCAAAATACGAGGGTGTAAGAGTATTATTATGCCCCCCCCCCCAATAGAATTTGACAAAAAAAATTACAAAAATCTGGAAATTATAAATAACATTACCATATTTAATTATTTAGCTATTCAGATTTTAGGATTAAAAAGTATTAATGAATTTACCTAACTCCATTGAATATCAAAAAACGGTAGCACAGTGGAGTTGTGGGACCATATGGAAGTGGCATAGTTGGAACAAGTATAGATGATATTAACAGTGATTAAAATCACTATCATAAGAAACGCTTTGATGCAAATCTATAGATAGTTTTTAATTTTAAGAAATTGGTAGATTATTCCAAAAGAAAATTAAAACCTATTTTTTGTTCTACTTCAACTGTCATTTGCACATAGAAAATAAGTCATGGATACATATTTTTTTTTGAACTACTAGTTCATAAAATAAGCTTTATTTTAATATATATTTAATAGATGCAGGTTTTCAAAAACTAAGCTGAAAAAGTTTTACTTTTTATACAAATTTTCAAGTTTTCAATAAAAATGTTCTTAACTTTAAAGAGTCAATAATTTAAAAATATGTATAAATTTATATTTAATGTAAGTTAGCTTCATATTAATTTTATATTTATTGATGGACTCCTTACTATTGCAAATCCTTATAAGGTATTTTAAAATAAACAAAAATAGCATGTTTTTTAACTATGGCAGCCATTTGCATTAAGATGATAGGTCGTCGAGAACATTTTTTTGTTTAATTTATTGTACGTGACATAACATTTAATTTGACATATGTTTTAAAAATGTATTGTTTACGGAATACTTTTAAAAATTAAGTTGAAAAAGTTGAGTTTTGTGAAAAAGTTGCTTTTAAATCCTTTGTGAGCAGGTAAAGGATCAGATTTTCAAAAAATTATATCAAATAAAAGAAAAATGCATAAGGTTTCAATATAAAAAAAATAATTTAGTTCGTTTATTATTCAATAAATTATGGAAGTATTAAGCACTAAAATAACATTGATTTTTTACACAAAAATTACATTTCTGTTAAATTTTCTCGGTCATTTGCTCATAGAAGATAGGTCATCGGGAATTTTTTTTTTTTTATCTTACAGTACATAATGTAAGTTTTAATTTAACATATGTTTAAAGGATACAGTATTTCCAGAACATTTTCAAAAGTTAAGTTAAAAAAGTTCTACTTTTCATACGTATGTTTCAAGTTTTTAACGACCCCTGTGTAAGGGCAAATTATTCGATTTAAAAAAAAAATGTATGTCGTATGAATGGGGTATAAATAATGTATTTAAAAACAAAAATTTGTGTTCATCTTTACATTTTTCAAAAAGTTATAATAATTTTAAATCAAAATTTTTAACACAAAAATAGCATTTTTTTATCTACGTAGAGATAAGTTTTTCATTAAGTTTATTTTTTTTTTAATTTATATTACTTTAATTTGACGCATGTTTAATGGACGCAACATTTCCGGAACATTTTCAAAAGTAAAATTGAAAAAGTTTAATTATGTAAAAAAGTTGTTATTTTGAATCCCCTCTTGTGAGCGCTAGGTAAAGGATCAAATTTTCAAAAATATTATGTCAAATAAAAAGAAATT